GATTTACTCTGAGCCAAATTTGAGGACCATGACCCGGAGCCACGCACAAGAGGCCTTGAGCAAGTGGACTCGCTGAGGTTGGGTTACAGTTTGGTTTTATACATTTCAGGGAGGCAGGGGTTACAGGTAAAAGTCATAAATCAATACGTGGGAGGCATACATTGGTTTGGCCCAAGAAGGTGGGCCATCTCGAAGGGGGGGGGAGCTTACAGGTTATAGGTGGGTTTAAAGATTCTTTGGCCTGTAATTGGTTAAAGACCTGAAGCTTTGTCTAAAGGCTTGGAATGTTTTAACATAAGGAGCTGTTTATCAGAGATAAGCCACCACCTGACATATATTTGTTGTGTAAATTGAGGACCTGCAGGTTTGTCTTGCACACCCTTAGGCCTGTTAATGGGTTACAAAGGATGTCACCAAGAAGGGAGGGGGGCATGATAAAGCATGTCTGACCTCCTTCCTCCTGGCAGGCAATTTAGTTTTAGGATATTCCTTTGGCCACAAGGGGGTCCATTTAGTCAGCTGGTGGGGGGGCGAGCCTTAAAATTTTATTTTAGTTCACAAAAGGTAGGTAGATATGTGTTATTCCTTATTGTTTCCCAGCACCTAGCATAGTGCCTGGTACATGTCATGTGTTCAATAAATAAATATTGACTGATCGAGTAAATGAATGATGATTCCAACCTCTGGTCCACCCTCAGGTCATCCTAAGTCAAAGACTCAGACATACAGGAACCATGGGATGGATAAGAAGAGAACAGCATTGAGAAAGAAGAGTACCTGTGTTTTGCTGTGTTGTTTATCTCCACCCAAAACTCATTCTACAAATATAAATTAAATGCCTTCTATATGATGAGAAATGTGTTAGACCCTCTAGTACAAAGATGAAGACATAGACCATGACTCCAATGTGTGCTTTCCCATTATCCCATCATAGTATGTATCACACTGTAGCATAATTGTCTATGAACCTGCCCTGCCACTGGACTATAAGCTCTGTGAGGACATTGTCTATCACACAGCAAGCACTCAATAGATAGTTGGCAAATCACATAATGGAGATTGCAGCCCACTAGGGTAAAAAGACAATCACATTAAGTCAGTATCCTTAGTTGTGAAAAACAAAAGCTACTGACTCTTGCTGATGTAGCAGAAAAGGAGTGTATTGAAGGTATTGAGTAGCTCTCAGGATTGTTGGAAGGTGTAGAGATTCAGGACTGAGGCCAAGCCTCCAGGAATAATGCAAAACACCACTGCAGATCTAGCCCAATGAGGAATGTCTCCATTGCAGCTCTCCACCCAGCCACTTCTGCATCAGAAACTCAATCTTGCAACCACTGAGAAACTAGTGATTCTCACAAGTTGCTGCTAGCACTGTCAACAAAGCCAGCCCCCTCTGCTTCTGTTCATACAGCAAGTTATAACAGGAAGACTGGAAGCACCACACACAGCCTGTTTCCTCTGGTTGCTTATACCCGAATTTAAGTTTCATGAAGATGAACCTGATTGGTAGAGCCTAGATCACATTCTTGAGCCCAATTGCAAGGGAGGCTGCAAATCTGAGTTCTAAAAAAGAAAGTGGGGGAGGGGGGTGGGGGGGGCAAGGGAAACATACATAACCTAAACATCTATACCCCCATAATATGCTCAAATTAAAAAAAAAATCAATCCATACAGATTAAAAACACAACCAAATCCATCTTAATGACCAACTATTCCAAGCTCCCCCATGGCAGAGAAGAAGCAAGAATAAA